GTATTATCACTAGTTTTACTGACTCCTCTGTGATGTCATATTCATGCAGTTGCTGTTGGAAGCTGTAATTAATCACATGGCAGAATTTGAAAACAGTCTGACACCTAGCATTTTTGAAGCACTGAAGGAAGTTCAAGGTAGATATTATTACAACAGCTGCCTGAAGCCCAAGAGACTTGGCCAGTAAGTACTCTCAATTCTCAGTTTACAAACAGATTGTGTTCCAAATAATTCTGTCAGTCAAGTTGCTCTTAATTTGAAATATAATTTTCTCCCATAAATAATGGAATTTAGCAATGGAGTAGCTAAGTTGATGAACTGAAACTGGAAGTCAGGGTTGCTGATTCACAACTCTTAATTAGCAGAGGATGGCAGTAAATTGCTGTAGGCCCTTGGCAGCACAGTTATTCTTGGTTTCAGGTTTTTGGGAAGATTGTTGTGGACTATACCAGAGTACAGTTCTGAACTATGTAAAGAATTTTCAGTGCAGAGAAGATTTAAATATTGTGATTGAAAGCTTAAAAAAGTATGTTGAATTCGAATATAGCATTAGGCCACCAACACCAAGTTTCTGAAAGGCAAATAAAATAATTTTTCATAATGATGCCAAAAGAATTTGTTAGAAACTGTTGATGAAGTTGTTGGAAAACAGTTTGCTGCTTCAGAAATTTCCCCCTATTCTAGTTTCCTGTTTGGGTAAATCAGGATCTTTACTACTTGAAACTAATATATTCATTTTATGATTTTGTCTTTAAGTGGAAGAAATGTTTGTCTATTGGTGCCAGTATCAGGAACTGTTCATCTACAAGATGTCAGTAAAGTCTAGCATTTTGTTTTTGTGTTACCATTTCAGTGCCATGAAGCAAGAAGTTTTCCTGTACATAAGATGTTAATGCTGTATGTTATACTTCTCTTTAAGTGCTAATTGCATCTTGCAACGATCTTTAAACTGTTGTCATCCATACTGCTGTCTGACAAATGTTCCTCACTCCCATTTATACTGTTGTCTCTGAGTGAGTAATAGGAAGAGGACACACCCAGGCATCAAGGAACATGAAGATTATTCATAAATTTTAAGTCCCCAATATCATAACCCTAAAGGGAGTCTTGAAATGATATTTAACACTATAAATGTGCATGTACCCTGGTTCGTCATAGAAAGCCCATGTGTTGGCTAATGTTGAAGACATGTCTTATACATACATCCACTCCTCATTGTCTCCATTGAATGGTAGTACAGATTGGCTGGTAGTCTTCTTTGAATCCTGGCAGGCATAAGTTTTGCCTTTTATGAACTGCTTCATTTGTATAAAAAATCTTGTTCTCTATGTTCACTGTGTTGGTCAGCTGTAAATGACACTACATATTTACAATTCTGCTCATTTAACAGGGATTTGCGATTCTCACTACTCACTCATGTCCATTGGAATGCAGTTGACAAGCATGCTGCCACATCGAGGATCACAGTTTCCATGGTAAAGGCATTTGCAAGACATTTTGTGGAGCATTTGTACATAAAAAGTCTTGTCCAAGGAAATATTAGTGAACAGCAAGCAATTGATGCCTGTAAGAACATTGTAGATATCCTGAAATGTTCCCCTCTTCTACCCAACAAATACCCACAGGTGTGTTCATACATTAGTAAGGTCTAAATTGTGTAACAGTAATATATGTGACATGTGCTTGATTCTCACTGATGAATCTGCCCGTCTGATTGACTGACAACGTTCTGACTGTAATTTAAGTCTGTATTACATTCACAGCTTCGAGTGATGCAGATCCCACTTGGTGAACATTGTTGCCGTGTAAAGTCTTTCAATTCACAAGACCCCAATAGCTCTGTAACAAACTATTATCAGTCTGGGCCTATTTCTATCAAGAGTTTGTGTATTGTTGATCTTCTCATGGTAAGTTTACTCAAGCTGAAGATGGTTATATTTACAGTAAACTTTATAAGTGTATTTATTGTGGAACATACATGTTCTGAATTAGAAGTGGAATATGTGTTGCTTCTGATTATCCACTGGTATTTTATTGATGCATTTACTGATGTGGATG